GGAGGGGCTTAGAGCTGTAAACTGGTATCCCGTTCACCAGGCAAAAGTGACTTCCACCTGGTTGCCACTATTTTGTACAAGTTTGACCCTAGACCCTTGACTGTACCAACTTTTGAAGCCTTTACGCAAAACTGAGCCAAGTTTTGTATTCCGATTGCTGTAAGAAATATTATAAACAAATGTTCAATAATGTTAGTCCCTGAGATAGTTGTCTAGCTCCCATAAAACAAAAAAAAGGACCGCTGCTGACGGCATCTAGCGTAGCCATTCCTAAGCTGCTCGAGCTTTTGTCACAGAAGCACATTTTGGGTTATTTAAAACGTACAACGAACAAACGGGATGAAAGAAAGGCCACAAAGAACCGCTGAGCTTACAAGTGAAGTTTTAGTCATCAGGATGCACCCCATATACACGATCAAACAAAGGAAGCACACAAAGCCCATAACACCCCATGAAACCCGCACAATCATCGCGCAGGCTGTCGATGCGCAATAAAATCTAAATCTTTAGCCGACAAAAGAAACAACGAGGCGCTGACACACTATTCCTCCAAGCACGCCATCCCGCATCGCAGCCACAGCAATGACAATGAATGCCCAAGTGTCCTTATACTACCCTCTTTACGTTGTAACAATGCTCTCTTAACCTATCCTTGAGGCATCTGCCAGTCTGGCCTGCGTATGGTTTACCGCAGGATAGCGGAATGAAATAAACAACTTTCTCTGTACAATGAACAAACCAATTGTGATGCTTCTTTGTGCACTCCAGAGGCCTCTCGAAAGACTGATTTACATTTTTGCAAAGCTTAGACAACTTGTTCGGGGCAGAGAAGACCACGGAGACGTCTCCCCGCTTTCGTATTTTCTTTAAGTCATGGGAAACTCTATGTAATTACGGGACCACGGCAACATTGTTTCTTCTTTCTTTATGAGCGTTTTCCGCATTTACTCCGCCTTCTAATTTAATTTTCTTCAACAAAGCGCCTGCTTCCGAGGCGAATAAGTGTTGCGGAAAATCCGCTGGCCGAAGGCGGGAACCTTGAGCGTCAAGACTGACCTGTGTTTGATGGAAGCAGGATTTCTTCAGGACATTCTTAAAGCACAAGCTCACGATGCCCCATTTTTCCAATTTTGAATGGGCGGATTCATGAAAGTGGCTTTAGTTCACGAGGTTTGAACAACCAATAAATGTGTTCTTCCAAAAAATGAGGTCGGAGGTCGAGGAAACGTATGAACACATTGGCAGCCAACTTGTGGCTTAAAATCAATGGGGCCAAGCAGTCACCAAGCACAGACAATACATTTGACACAAGGGAGTCACGTCATGCTTGCTACTATCTAGAATCACGAGATAATCGTCAACGTATCTACAAATATTTACCACATTTGGACCGTGTAAATGGCTAAAAAGATCTGTGTCGTGATGTGCGCCATATATGTCACTGAGGAGGGGGCGAGATGCAAGATCCTATGCACACACCCTTTCTTTGCAAAAAAAGTGCTCTGTTCCCATGAGGCGAACGTTTATTTAAGATAAAGTGAAAGTAATTCCAGCAAGCCCCCGACTGACACGCCTGTTGCATTTTAGAAGGCGACTGACCCAAACTGATCTGTGCATTCATCGACACAAAACAGCAATTTATCGTGGGGTAGCGAATAAAACAAATCAAAGTTGTTTATTCCACACCGCTATCCTGCGGTTAACAAAACGTAGGCCAGACGGGCAGATGCCTCAATGATAGGTTAAGAGAGCATTGTTACAATATGAACAGGGTTGTATCAAGACACTTGAGCATTCATTGTCGTAACTGTGGCTGTGATGCGAAATTTAAAAAAAAAATATACTGTCACTTGAAGAAGTGCCAATGACCTGACTATACTGTGTCTCATCCTACGATGGACTGAAGGTTAAAGCCACAGGTCGCCAGGTCCAATCACGTTTATGGCATGCTTAACATTGATTAGGGGTGGACAAATAATGCTTCGAATCAAAAAGTGCTGCATCATTTCTGTAGCTTCGATACCGCAAAGAGCCTGTATGCTGTGCCTTTCCTTGCGATGTAAAATTGGTGAGTCACTCAGTGCTATTCAATTCGAGCCACTGTCCGCCCATCCCCATTAGACGCGGGCATCGACACGTGCATTGAAGCCAAATACCAGGCAATTTGTAAGTGGCTCGTGATTGGATCTGGTGGTCTGTAGCTTTTGCCTTTAGTCCATCGTAGGGTGAGACGAAGTATAGGGAGGGTATAAAGGCAGAGGCGATTGCGCGCTTAGGGGAAGAGTGTGTCAGCGCCCGTCGGTTCTTTTGTCGGCTAAAGAATTATATTCTATTTGACGACGACAGCATGCGGGATGATTGTGCGGGTTTCAGTGGGGTGCTATGGGTTTTGTGTGCTACCTTTGTTTGATCGAGCATAGATACCACGCTTTGACGATTAAATCTTCAGTTGCAAGCTCAACGGTTCTTTGTCTTATTTCTTCCGTCCCGTCTGTTCGCAGTACGTTTTAAATAATCATGCCCTACCAAAACTTCCATTCTGAGCACATTTTGGCTCTAAAACAAACAAGACATAACCTATCTCGTCAGTACTTTTATTAAAGATCAATGAGCTATATCTGTGCCCAATACGGTGTTAAAATCTAGATGTAAAATTATAATGTCACGTGTCTGGTGGTCAAAAATATGCAACATGGCAGCGGCCGGGTGGGGGTCATTTTCAGTTGTAAATTTATTGCTCTAAGCCCCTCTACCTTGACGGTGTTGCGCAACAAAAACAACCGTGTCGTATAATTCTTTTTTTGCCCGTTTCAGGCTTGAGCGGCGTCGGCGTCGGCGTAACCAAGGTTACCTCAAGGTCACGTGACCCCCCAAAGCCACCCCAATGTCGCGTGACCCCCAGGTCAAGTGACCCCCGAGGTCACGTTATCCCCCAAAGTCACCCCAATGTCGCGTGACCCCCAGGTCACGGGACCCCCGAGGTCACGTGACCCCTCCCGAGGTCACGTGACCACTCCAAATGTCACGCCAAGGTCACGTGACCCCCAGTTCACGTGACCCCTCACAAGGTTACCTCAAGGTCACGTGACCACCCAAGGCCACCCCAAGGTTGCGTGACCCCCAGGTCACGTGACCCCCGAGGTCACGTGACCCCTCCCAAGGTCACGTGACCTCTCCAAATGTCACGCCAAGGTCACGTGACCCCCCATTTCACGTGACCCTTCACAAGGTCAACTCAAGGTTACGTGACCCCCAAGGTGACCCCCTCAAGGTCACGTGACCCGCCCCCCCCCCTAAGTCACGTGACACCCCCCTCCCCGAGGCCACGTGACCTCCTCCCCCCCAGGTCAGGTGACCCCCCAGAGCATATTAAAGCATGAGGGGAGGAGGAGGAGAAGGAGGATGGGTTCACCCTCCCCTCAGTACCCTTCCCTCCTCCTCAAGAGCTGCGCTCCGGTTCGGCGTTACAGGGAGTTGTAAACGGCTTTCACTTTTTAGAGCGCTGCTCTTAGGGGCCCGTTTCCGGCTTGAGCGCCGTCGGCGTCGCCGTCGGCGTCGCTGTCGCCGTTGGCGTCGCCGTCGGCGTCGCCGTCGCCGTCGGCGTCGGCGTAACCGCGGGGTGCATCATGGGAAATGTCCCATAATGCACCGCGCGAGCCCCCCACCGGGGTCACGTGACCTCGTGGGGGCACGTGACCCCCCCGAGGTCACGTGACCCCGGTGCATCATGGGAAATGTCCCACAATGCACCGCGCGAGCCCGCCACCGGGGTCACGTGACCTCGTGGGGGGCACGTGACCCCCCCGAGGTCACGTGACCCCCTGAAGTCACGTGACTCCCCTGAGGTCACGTGACCCCCGCCGATGTCGCGTGACCCCCAATGACGTCATCGTCACTGATGACGTCACCGGCATCCACATCGTCATCATCACTGGACGTCATCACTGATGACGTCACCGGCATCCACATCGTCATCGTCATCATCACTGATGACGTCACCGGCATCCACATCGTCATAGTCATCATCACTGATGACGTCACCGGCATTCGCATCGTCATCGTCATCATCACTGATGACGTTACCGACATCCGCATCGTGATCGTCATCATCACTGATGACGTTATCAGTGACGTCACTGAGGTCGTCACCGGCATCCACATCGTCATCGTCACTGATGACGTCACCGGCATCCGCATCGTCATCGTCATCATCACTGATGACGTCACCGGCATCCGCATCGTCATCGTCATCATCACTGATGACGTTACCGACATCCGCATCGTCATCGTCATCATCACTGATGGCGTCATCAGCGACGTCACTGATGACGTCACCGACATTCGCATCGTCATCGTCATCATCACTGGTGAAATCATCAGTGACGTCACTAATGACGTCATCGGTACCCGCATCGTGATCGTCAATGATGACGTCATCAGTGACCTCAGTGATGACATCATCGGCATTGGGGGTCACGTGACCCCCAAGGTCACGTGACCCCCCAAGGTCACATGACCCCCCCTTGGTTAGTTTAGCCCCCCCCCCCCCAGTGCCCTTCCCTCCTCCTCCTCAAGAGCTGCGCTCTAATTCGGCGTTACAGGGAGTTGTAAGCAGCTTTCACTTTTTCTTTTAACACACATTTCATTTAGGGTAGCTTTTTTTAAACAATTTAATTTTTTATGGTCTCTTCAAGGCCGCTGAAGAAAGTGCTATTGCATATAAAACGGACATTACCCACTAAAAACATTTCTCACGGCACTTGGCCTATTTTGGCGGGGCGAAAGCAGCCACGTTAATCATCGTGATCGGCACTAAAAGCACAAATCAAAATAGAAATCATTGTGTACCTTTCGAAATTCCTCCACCTCTTGTCCATTTAGAAATGGCTCCACGAAGTCCATGTATCTGCGAAGCATGTCTTGCAGAGGCACCACGGGTAAGATGGGCAGTTCTTTCTGTCTGGACATCATGATACCTTCAGGTGTCTCCGGTTTGGCAGCGACAATTTGAGATGAAGGCATCCTGCAAAACGTTAATGCGCAATCGTGGCGTTTACGTGGAGTACCTTTGGGCTACGCGTCGTTCGTTTCAAAAGTGACTCCACTATATAAACCCTCTGCTTTTCTTCATAAGACTGAGATGTTACGCGTTCGCCTGTCTCAACACTAGCCGAAAAAATTGACCTCGCACCACGGTTACCTCTGCATTTTGCAGTCTGTTCTGCCAACGCCGCCTAGACAAGAAGGTGAATACACTCGAACTTTCACGTTCTTACAGCACGACCAAAAGAGGAGAGAGATTGGATAGGACTACTACGTCAGTGTTCTTTCGGGATTGCACTGAATTAACGCGTCGTCGTCGGTCTAGTTTCAAATGGTGAAGCTTTATTTTTTCTTTAACATAAAATTGAAAGTTTACAGGTTTTAAACCGTCCCTGCTGCACGCTGCCATCTGAGCAAACGGCACAGCTGAAACGCTCTAACATTCCACACCACAAGTAATAGCTGAAACCGTGCGCTTCAAACAGGATGCGCCGCTCCACGTACAGGGTTACCGCGAGTACGCCTACTCAAATCGACTTCATTTTCGTGATGACCTAGTTTTCAAAAGTTTTGCGATTTGAAAGCTATCCTCAAAAACTGATCAAGCGAATAAATTGTCATGATTGAAGGCGACCAGAAGACGAGCATTGAACTGAAAATAAAGGTTTAATCGACGAACTTGAGCAAAACAAAATAAAAGACGTGCGTCGAGGCAGTAGAAGAGCGTAAGGCGATTTGGCGGGGTAACAGCATGCGAAAGCGAGACTGACCCGTCAACTTCGCAGGTGACTTGTTATCTGGAGCGTGTCGGCCTCTGGAATGTTCGGCAAAAAAGCTTCGAGCGTCGCTTGCTCCGGCTGAGAATGAACATGCATTTTCGAAAACAAGAAACGAGGGCGAAATGATAAAAGTTACGCACCGAGCAAGAATGAACATTAATCTTCTAGAAGTGCGTGACTGAGTATTGCTTGCTCGAACCTGCGCTGCGGAATTATTCCCCCCCCCCCCCCCCTTTTAAGAGCGCATAGACGTGATGCCACGTGAAAGGAAGACAGAAATGGTTAAAAATTTACGGTGAAACAATATAAAGGCGCAGCGTCACAATCCTAACGCGCATAGAATATCTTCAGTCGAACAACGTGGACGACTTCGGTGATGCGTATTTGTGGGCTGTCCCAGGGCATCGCGGCGAGAGATCTCACTCAAAACGGAGTAATCTGCTCCGATGTCCACGAGGGTCGACGTGCCGTGGCCGTCGATGACACGTCGAAGTTGTTGGGCACCGTTGCAGAATTGTCGTTCCTATACTTGTCGCTAGAGTGGGGGCCCTCCGACGTTCTTGGAGGATGTTTCCGACGGTCGCCGTCGGCAACTCTATTCGGTGGTTGCCGCGCTTAGTTTCCCCGGCGAAGAGCGAATGGGGACAGGCTCTCACATCAGGGCCTATGCATTGGCAAAGCGGGACTTCGTGGTGAGGGCGACTTGGACCCACGTCAAGGCGCAGGCGTCGGAGATGGTGGGCGTCGTTGGTAGTCGTTGATTTTCCAAGGTCGCTCACCGTGCGTGCGCACGGGTCGCCGGGATGGAAGCCGCGTATTCCCTGCTGCCGGTACGGGCAACTGCGATAGATGTGGTCGGCTTTCCCGCAGTGGTAGCAGAGTGGGCGTCGGTCGGCCGCCGTCGACACGTCGGTCTTCCTGGATGCTAGTTTTATCGGGCGCACGTATCGCTGTTCTTCGCGACGTCGGGGGTACTGTGGTGCTCGAGGTTCACGTCGTGGTGGCGCCGTAGCTTGGCGGGGAGCTTGCGGCGGTCGTCTGGCCATAGCAGCTTAGGTCAGCGCCGGTTACTCGGGGGCCGGCACGTCTACGGGAGTTTCAGGCTGCAACACTCGCTGTACCTCGTCGCACAGGATCTCCGCGAGTGACAGCGATGCCGGGCGCTGAGGAGCGGAAAACAGCTTTCGGAGCTCTTCTCGGACGCCGTCCCAGATGATCTCGCCTATGTCCGATGTAGTGGAACAGAAGCAGCAGCTTGACGACGCAGATGCAACGACGCCAGGTAGTCGTTGGTAGTGGGAGGCTTGTGCCTTGAGAGCACGTTCGATGCTACTTGGCTTCCGTCACGAATTGTTCGACGGTTGACGGTAGGTGGCGTACAAGGCCACCAAAAATGCTCTCCTTAACGCCGCGCATGAGAACTTTCAGCTTTTTATTTTCTCCGTCGCGTCAGGGTCGGCGCATGCACTCACACGTAGCTCGTCTTCAACGTAGCTCGTGACGGTTTCGTTGGGGCCCTGCGTCCTCGTTCGAAGAAAAACCTCGGCTCGCTCCCGCTTCTGCTGACTGGCGGACGTCCGCCGAACTTCTTCTTTCAGCTGGTCCCATGACGTAAGGGAAGCCTCACGGTTCTCAAACCAGTGCCACGCAGTCCCTTCTAAGGAAAAGTAGATGTTTTGCAGGCACTGTTCAGCTGTCCATAGGTGGTGGCGTGCTACGCGCTCGTTTGTATGATCTAATCCTCAACATCCTAGTGGATCACGCCATGGAAGGGCGTCGGCTTGCGAGGGGCGAGGGGAAGGTATACGACCGGGGAGGCAGTGGTGGGTGTCTCAGTTTGTAGGCTCCGGCAGGTTCTTGCTGGCTTCGTCGAATTCTTCCTCCGAGTGTGCGGTAGAGGTCCGATTTCCGGAGGTTGATCCTTGGTGCGGCGGCTTCCTCGGGTCTCGGCTGTCCACATGGACGGTCTTCTTGCGCCGGCGACTGTTCTTGCGCTGCGAGGCCTCTGAGAAGTACGCTTCATAAGATGCGGTACCCCGCACCTCCACCAGAAATGCCACAGATGAAGGTGACGAGAGCCGAGCTTGTGCCAAACAAAATAAAAGGCGAACGCCGTGTCAGCAGAAAAGTTTACGGCGATTTGGCGGCGTAAGAGCAAGTGAAAGTGAGACTGACTCGACAAGGTCGGGGGTCGCTCCATATCTTGAGCGTGTCGGCATCTGGAATGTTCGGCAAAGAAGCTCGGAGCGTAGCGGGCTTGGGGAGTGAATGAACATGTACTTTGGAGAAAAAGTATAAAGAACAAAATGACAAATGTTACGCCCCGAGCAAGAATAAACACGAATCTTCTAGAAGTGCGTCACCAAGCGTTGCTTCTCAGCTCTGCGCCTGGCATAATCATCACATGGTAACAACTGCAGAACATATCACTTTAAATTGCAAAAATGTGCACCCTTGTAATGTTCGCAAGAACCAGACTGTGTTGTCAGCTCTCCAACGTGACAGACGAGCCTTTATCAGGTGAGTTTGGGTTTATATGGTGTTTTTTTAATAACGCCACTCTGTTGGAAGATCTTGATGATGGAAAGATGAAAACAAAACTACCAAAAGACAGCTCTTTTCAATGACTTTTGTTTCCTTGTGTAATGAAAATGATTAGAAAAGATCAAACACCCGAGTAAAAAAGCTCCCAATCATGAAATGTGAGGCAGTAAATGTACTAGTATATTTATAATTAAAAAAAAAACTTGCATGGGTTTTTGACCTTCAGGAATATATCTGCTCAAAAAATGCTAGTACATAGGACGAGACATGTCACCAGGCTCGATCTACAATGGATCGTGAAAATCGACGCCAGTACGTCGCAATCTAAACGTTTCGTCAAAGATGTGTTTCACAGGTCTTTTTTTTTTTTTGTAAAATTACAAAGCGTAGTTCTCTTTTAGTAAAAAATAGGGCCAAGAATCTTGCCAGAGCCTACGGCGGGCGGCGACGCAGACGACCAAGTCCAATAGGGGTGTGTGTTTGGCATGCGTATTGATAAATGGCGTCGGGAGCAGCTTCAGAAGGTGCAGCCGACCAGCGAAAGAAAGCAGACGACACGCAGACGAAATCCTTTGGCAGGAAAAGCACCGTCGTTATGCAGAAGGGCGTTTTCAGATAAGATCGAACAACCATGTCCGGTCGCCATTTTTAAATGTGATGAAAAAATATATTTTGCTGGCTTTATGCCCAGAAGTATCAAACCAATCCTAGTTTTCGGGAAAAAAATGTTTGTATTTGTGAAAACAATCTTGTAAGCGCCCTCTCAGTCTCCTGTGCTTTTTGCGTATTGCGCAATGTTGACATTTCGGGCGGCTTCCCCCAAAAAACTGTTCTGGCTACGGGCCTTGAAATATTCACTGACCAATTAGGCATAGGAAGGATTTACAAAAAGTATTAATCACCGATTATTAGGGCAGTTGTTTTCAGAAAATAAATTGCAAACACGGCGCATTGCGCAGTAACGCTCTGGATTAAAGTATATATTTCTCCGTATCTATAAAAGCTAAGGACTTCAAACTTTGCCAGTGTGTTGCCCTATCATGATATAGTGCATCTTTTGGTAAAATATTGTTGTCCTGGTTAGCGGGAAAATTTTAGAAGAATCGCTCACACAGGGGCATTGAACTGAAAACGCATTATTTTGAAAATCATTTAAAAAAAAGGCCATCTTTAATGTTCTTTAAACTCTCTGAAATTAACGTTTATAATATGTACTAACAGAGCCTGCAAAAACATGCTGCAATATGTGTGTGGCTTTTAAGTTATAAAGCGAGAAACATAGCCAAATTGACGCTAACGTGGTTGCCCTAAATGAGGCGTGCACATACACGTTCTTCACAATTTGATTATTATTAAAAAGCGTAGAAATGCTACAGGGTGATCAGGAACAGACAAATTGACAGCACAGAGGTTGACGGCAGTTCTGAAGGGAAACTTCCTAACACATTTTGGTACAACCGACCCAAAAATGCCCATGGGCCGGAGCGATCGATGTGCGCCCCCCTCTAACATGCTTCGCGGTGCCTCTTTCAACAGCCGGCGTATAGCGTCTCCGTCTACGCGACGTAAAGGAAGCAACCGGAGCGACTTTGCAAACATATCAGCCTACAACCTTGGCGGTAACATGATATAGGAAGTACGGCGCGGCAGAACCTGAACCTGCGCCGCCTATGAGCGCCGATAGATCCGCCGCAGTGGAGGGCCGCACAACGCGTAGAAAATAAAATATACTTAAAACCAAAAAAATTCCGATTGACTGAGATTGTCTGTATTGGGCGTTTTCAAATAGAATGAAACGACCATGTCCGCTCGACAGTTTTTTTTTTTTTTTTTTTTTTTTTAGCAAAGGATACATGTTTTACTTGTTGTGCAAGCGCAAAACATATTCAAACTTTTTTAGCAGAAGAAACAATTTTTCTTGAGAAAAAAAAAATCACAAAGTCGCTGTTGGTATACGCTCTCGTTTTGGCGACTTTCGTGAAACCGTTTTTTGGATATTCATTAAAGAAAAACGGTTGTCGTCTTAGGTTTAATATTTTTTTTTTTTTGAGCAGAGACTCTACATAAAATAAAAGGCGTTAAATATCTATTATCGATTACGAAGCAATTTAGAGCTTTATGGATTCGTATCTTAAAAGACTGGAAATTCAAAATTTTTCAATGATTTCGACGGTTCTATTCTACATCTACGTAAATTGTCATTTAATTTGAAAACGATAACCTTTCTCAAATAAATACACTGAAATTTAGACAGGTTACCGATTTTGCAATAATTGGAAAATCATTTTGAAATTAAGGCCATCACAATTTTTCTTCTACTTTTCACATATCAAGGCTCCAAAGCTGTCCCATCAGGCCCTTCAAAAATGCTTCGCAATATTTTTACAGGGTTTTAAATATACAGAATTGACGTAACGGGAGTGGAGAAGTATAGGACGTTGCCGATTTCAAACAAGGGCAAGCAAGGGGTCGAAAAATGGAGGAAATCTGTGAAGAGATAGCACTGGGACAGGAATTTGTGAAAAATTAGAATTCATGCAGATGATTACAGCTGAGTTTGAAGCACAAGTCAACAATTTAAATAAAGATTTCTACGATCATTGAATTTCGGAGCCTACCCTTCGTGGGAATGCTGGGCTGCTGACGTTTAAATAGTGATAGGAAAGAACACATGTTTAAAGTGGTACAATTGAAACTAGTTCAAATAATCAAGATCATCTGCGCACATTCGGAGCTTGTCACGTGAATTCTTTCTGCCGGACGCTGACCTGAGTCAGTCACGGCGCCCTCCTGGCACTCCGAAAAGGAAAATTTTTTCCCGGTTTGCCTGCGATCACTATTCGTTTCTTCTCGGTGGCACCGCAATCTCGCGACCTCGATCTGCTTCTCGCAGCCATAGGAGACTTTACTTTTAAAGATATATCTTTTCTGCGGCTACTGTTCTTGCTAAAACAGCTGTGGTTGCGAAGTGCCGGACCGCGTACACTGCCACAAGTGACATGACTGAATTCCACGCACAACGGAAAGTCGCAGACATTTTCTTTCATGTCCCTGAACACTTCGACGGCAGCTTTCGGGAAGTAGATTAGTTTCACGTTCGGCAGTTAAGTGTTCAGTGTGGCAACCATCTCTGACGCCGACTTGATCACCACCTTGGTGGGCCGTCGGAGGTTGTACAACGTTGTCTGGTGCTTGACACGACCCCCGATTCAATGACAGGCACTCTTGCTATGTCAAGTTGCGGAAAAAATACACCTCGCTGACTTGTACTTGTGGCTCTGCACCTCGTGTAGTTGGTACTTGTTCTTAAAGTTTCTTGTTGCACCATCACTTATGTAGGTGACATGAGCATACCCAAATTGGATTTCACGATTCTCCAAACCGTTGTCTTATAAATTAAGTTACAGACAATCTCATTCAATCGCAATTCTTTTTCCTCTTTTTTATGTATCTTTATTTTCTACGCATTTTGCGGCCCTCCACGTCGGCGGATCTATTAGCGCTCACAGGCGGCGCAGGTTCAGGTTCTGCCGCGCACTACCTCCGTTATCCTGTTACCGCCAAGGTTGTAGGCTGATCTGTTTGAAAGGTAGTTCAGGTTGCTTCCTTTACGTCGCGTAGGCGGAGACGCTATACACCGGCTGTTGAAACAGGTACCGCGAAGCATGTTAGAGGGGGGCGCACCTCGGTCGCTCCGGCCAAGGGGCATTTTTGGGTCGGTTGTACCAAAATGTATAAGGAATTTTCGCTTCAAAACTACTGTCCATCTCTGTGCTGTCGATTTGTGTTTTCCTGACCACCTTTAGCATTTTTACACTTTTTAATAATAATAAAATTGTGAAGAACGGATATGTGCACGTCCCATTTATGGCAACCGCGTTAGCGTCAATTTGGCCATGTTTCTCGCTTTATAACCTAAAAACCACACAAATATTGCATCATGGTTTTGCAGACTCTGTTAGTAAATATTAGAAACGTTAATTTCAGAGAGTTTAAAGAAAATTAAAGATGAACTTTTTTTAAAATCATTTTCAAAATAGTGCATTTTTAGTTAAATGCCCCTGTGTGAACAATTGTTCTTAATTTTTCCCGCTAACCAGGACAACAATATTTTACGCAAATATGCACTATATACAGGGCAACACACTGGCAAAGTTTGAAGACCTTAGCTTTTATATTTACGGAGAAAAATATTTTTTAATCCAGAGCGTCATTGCGCAATGTGCCGTGTTTGCGATTTTTTTATCAAAATAACTAACCTAATACTCGGTGTATAATACTTTTTGTCAATCCTTCCTATGCCTAATTGGTCAGTGGATATTTCAAGACCCGTAGCCAGAACAGTTGTTTTGGAGGAAGCCGCCCAAAATGTCAATATTGCGCAATACGCAAAAAGTACAGGAGACTGAGAGGGTGCTTACAAGTTTTTTTCGCAAATACAAACATTTTTGTTCCGAAAACTAGGATTGGTTTTATACTTCTGGGCATAAAGCCAGCGAAATATATTTTTTCATCAAATTTAAAAATGGTGACCGGACATGGTTGTTCGATCTTATCTGAAAACGCCCAGAAGAATTAGTTTTACTTTAAGTTTCGCTTTCATTGTCCGCATTATTTTTTAACCAAAGGTACATTTCAAAAAGATTTTATTCATTTTAATAAACCACGGTGGTCGCGAGCCCTCGCAAACAGAGGTAGCGCCATCAATCAATACGAACCGCCCGCCGCAGTCTCTGGCAAGTTTCTTGGCTCTATATCTTACAGAGAGAGAGCTACGCCTTGTAACTTACAAAAAAAAAAAACTGACCTATGAAATACACCGTCGACGACAAGTTTAGATTGATACGTGAAGGTGACGATTTCTACGATCCATTTTAGATCGAGCCTCATGACTTTGGTCACCTTATATTTATAAATTAAAAAAAAAAAAAACGAACAAAAAAACATGGCATGAGTTTTTGACCTTCCGGAATATATGTGCTCAAGAAAGTCAAAATAATGTTCACTTAAATGCGAATGCATTCCTTCAATGCACTACACAAGCGCAAAAAAAAAAGCTTCCTTTTAACTGCATGTGTGGGAAAAAAATACTTTTTTGTTTTGTTCTCTTGAATTCAGGCTGGTCAGCAACCGTGTGCCTATGCAGCCCAGTTTTGACTGTTTGAAACCTACAAGTCTCTCGAAAGAAACAAATGTGCGAGAATATTTAACCAAGTACTGAAGGTCGAAAACCTATGACAGGCGGAAACAAAGTGCCACAGCTTCCAGAGTGACCTCTGTCTCATAGGCCTGATTTACAAAAAAAAAACATATTGCAGCGCTTTATTGATGTCCTGGACACACTGCGATGAAATAGACTGCGGGCACTTCTTAAACAAAGGCTGGGAATTAAGACAGATGATAAAATCGTAGTCTTTTTAACAAAAAAAGAGGCCTACCCTTACAGCACATGCAGGTAACTGATGATAGACTAGCTGAAACAGCTACAGTCCATACTCCCTAAACCTAACGCCCCAAACCAGTTACCCAAATATTATTCTTGGCAAACAATTCAAAGCTAAATTGGTGATTGGAGCAGCTGGAATATCATCCCCAGGCTAGGTCATCATCGGGTACCCAAACTTCACCGCGTGGTTCGACTGGTATATTTCAAATTTTGTTGAAGTAGTTCTTTAATATATATCCACAGCACATTGCATTGACACTTCAGGATTTTTAGGTTAATCACCGTCTATACTATACTCCGTTTCACCTTAGTCAGGGCGCAGCGGATACTACAAGCCATCAAAGCAAATCCAAAGTCGTACGAGTGTCATGTGTCCTTAGAGAGCGGGCGCAGCGACACGCGTTATGTGCTATGTTTAAAGAGCATGATTGGCTGGGATCGCTCTTAGCATCCGCTGCATCCGGAGGTAGGGTGAAACAGTAGTACCATGCAGCCAAATTTTACCAGGTGAGAAAAAAGGGCCTGATTTTGTTTCCTTATGTGCACACAATTAATGAACAAATTAATCACCCATGCGAGTAGATTTTCTTCAAACTAATCCATTCAATTGTGATTAGTGTCCATTGTCACAGCAATCCAACACAAAATATGAAGGCTGTATTTACGCATCGCATTAGTAATGCAAATTTATATATTACTTTTTAACTGCAGCCATTCACCATTTTTTAATGTCACTCATCACCAGACATTCACTCACAATTTACAATTAATGTACAGAAGCAATTGGGATTTTAGATGCCGTATAGCTCATTGTTAGATATCTGAAATTTAATTTCCATAGTTCGCACCCATCTATCCCATGAACTAAGTCGGCACCAATTTGGTTGCAATAGAAAGCAAGCTGGATTGGGACTTCCGCTAACAGTCAATGAAGGCTAAATTCTAAATCAGGTATACCTTGTTTCTCTGATTCTTTAACATCATCCATTCTTTCAGCAGTCTGGTAGGAAATGTCTGGCTTTGGCTTGCCCTCTCAGCTCAGGGACGGTAGCTAGGTCTTCTGAGCCAGTTTCAAAAAAGCGTTTCTTGGCATCAATGCTTGTGATGCGATGAAACTCAGCAAAAATCTGAAATAAAAATAATTCATCTTTACTGAACTTATAAATCGTAAACTACCCTGTAGAAAAGCAGGAGGCGATAAAAAAAGATTCCCATTTGTCATGAGAGACACAATCGTAACTGGAAAGATGTCAGTGGGATAAAAAACAGACTCGTGGTGCTTGCTTTTGCCATAGAGGAAGTGCCAGTTACTGTTATCAGTTTTCTGAAAGTAATTTGTTCCAAGCACATTTTATTATGCTTGCGATCACATTTAGTTTTGCCCGTGCTTCAAGAAATGCTGTTAATACTTAGTTTAAAATAAACAAAGGAATAAAAACAAGTATGATGTACCCCAATTCTCCACATATGCCAACTAATGGAGAATGTGTAGTGTTTTTGGTTGGCCAGTTTCAATCAGATGCATCTCAGCTGCACCAAATCTCGCTCAGCAGGAGGAACCTCCCAAAATATAAAGCTATTTGCACGGTTTTCTAGCCCTCCAAGAAATATAGCCAAAACGCAAGTATTTTCTTATAATGCTGCTATAAAAAAGGCAAGGAAGAGGTATCCTATGAAGATAATTCTTTTTTTGAAATGCATGGTAAACTTGAATAATCCCCACTGAATCGAGCAACAGGACAAGGAAAGTGCGCTTGCTCTTTTGTTAGGTTGATAACGTCCGGCAGGTTGGCAGGGCAGTGCCGTTTTATACCCTTTTATCACATGGGATATGCTCTCAGATTTAACCAGCTCTCGGTCATTAAACTGGTGACCACGCTTTCTGCACATACTCATGTGCATGAGGGCAGGGTCAGGTAATGAAATACTTGTCCAGAGAGCCCATAGATTCTTCCAACCCGTAAGCTGAGCCCTTGGAAGGAAATTAATAGCAAAAGACGAACAACGGCTTCATTTCCTGAAAATGTGCTGAAAAAAAAGGGGTATAATACAACACAGGGTAAAGTGCACCCTTTTTTCTATATCTTCTGCATCATGAAGCCATACGATGATCTCACAGAGCATAGCCGGTCTTCGTTTCCGCTCAGTCTTTATAAGGACAGTTGCCAGGGTTTCTGAGGCAACATCCATAAAATGCTCCCTTTGCCTTGACGCCAGTACTAATAGAAAAAAAAAAACACTGCAAAGATCTGCAAGAAAAATTATTTTCACATCTTTAGTCTACTTAAAGACATTTGTAAACCGCTCTTTAAAAAAAAAGCGAGAAAAATCATGATTTAATAATTATCGCAAAATCGTAATTGATGTCAGTGGGATAACAAAGCAGACACATCATGGAGCCAGTGATAACGGCGGGTTTATGCCAGGACTGGAGTCGCAACCGCAAAGCAGACCTGCATGTGGGGGACATTTTTGCCCAACCGCGTCACCGGGCCAATGGGATTTCCCTGCGACGGCTCCCATTCACTAGCAGCGCGAATGCACCATAATGGGGGTGGCTGGGGTCTTGTCAGGGAACTTACTCCTCTTAAAAGTATGAGAAACATCGACACACACGTGGAGTTTTAAGGGTAGTAAGCAACATATTACCTGGTGAGCTTTAGGTCTGGATAGTCGTCTACGATATTTGAGATTGTAGAGTGTATGCAGATGTCCTCTCTTTGCCCAAAAGGTCCTCTCAATGGCATATTTCACCATCTCCATATACGTAGCCGTTTCCTTCCTTTCTCTTTTCATTGCGTCCATGTGACCGGCTATGAAATGTCAATCTTCAGTTGTGGGCGAGGATGCTTGCAGCTTCCAAAAATGAGAAGGAACGAAGTTAACCAACCATGCATATAGTAAAAACACTCCGAGATTGCGAAAAAAAGGAGAGACAGAGATAGTCTTAATTAACTCGCACCAGCTCGTTTTGGCCCTAAACTTCTGTTCATAAATCAACCCTTTTTCATATGTCCGCCCTCCAACTGTGGCCGAATATTTTTTTTGCATCACAAGTATTTCTCTGATAACATTCCAGAGACAAAGGAGCCTACAAGCCCGAAATCAATTGTTTAAACAGCTCAATAATCAAACACTACTCAGTTAGTTCAATGCCTCCTAGATCGCAAGGCCATAGTGTTGCTGGATTCTACCCCCTCTCATAGGTCATCGCAAGGCAGACTGAAAAAAGCACTGCATTAGCATTCAGCTGGAATACGTATTATCACCAACTGAACACGAGTTCTAAGCCAATGCTAACATAGAAGTGTCCACTGTGCACTTTGCAGTGAAACGTGATAGTCGAGAAAAGAAAATCAAGTGTTTAGGAGGTGTTTGGCCAACTCAAAATTAAAGCGTCCTTTAAATGAAGCGATAGCAACATTTTGTGTCATGATGACAACTGTTCATGGCGTGTGAAAATTTGTTTTTATGTGACTTCTTTTTATTTCTGTTTGCGGCTACTTCTGTTTCAAAACGACGATGTTATGTGGTATCACCCTGTGCGTTATGTAAGATACTGTCATAAAGGATAGTGCCTGTCATAACCAAAATTTATTAATGCGAAATTAAATGACACTCAAGACGAGAAAATTGCACCCTAAAGGCCTTTGAAAAAGAAAGATTTTTTAGACAGTTTGTAAGGGACACAAGTGTCCAAAAATAAATTTTGCACACAAATATTTTTTTTTCATTCGAGCAATATTGACGGCGCGAGATTAATTTCAAATTCAGCGCGCAAAGTCCATGACGTCAAGGAATGGTAAAACGCACTTCCCATCTCAATAGGTGGTCAAACCCGTTCTCCACCTCAACGCGATAGCCAAGGCAATCCACCTCTCCTCCCCGCACCCGAAATGCCGAGAGGGAAAAAGTGGAAAGGACTTGGCTACCGACTAAATCCCATCTCGCGCAATCACTAACGTTTTTAGCAATGACCAATGACCTGTTGTTTTTCTTTGTTTGTTGTAAATTTAAGATTTGATAATTTGTTACTGTATTACTATCTTTATTTTATGTGTGTGCCGCTTCCCCTCTCTAATGCCTTCCCGCCCTGAGGGTATTTTCAATAAATGAATAGATAAATATTGCCCTAATTTTTTTATTCGCGTAAAATTTATATTTTGACACGCGTGTCCCAACCAGACTGATTGCAAATGCTCAGAGCCCAAAGCAAACACGACTATCAGATGACAATTAGCAAAAAAAATAAAACCTTTTAAACGAAGTTCACAAGCGCAGCTTTGAACAATACAAAACGCATTTCGAAGCCACGAGCACAAGATAAGTTCGACACAAGGCGAAACCAAATTTCGAAGTGAGGATCTCAAATGCAAAACTATTACAAGACAAAACACCTCCACGTTGGGCTTATTCGCGTCTGCAGCTCGACGCTCGCCCTCCCGCGGCGGAAACGGGAAGCGCTCTAGTGAGGGCTCCCCGATTCTCCCTGCTAAGCGGGCATGGCGGAAGTGCTCGCAATCATAGCTCGCGAAATGTCGTTTCCGAATGCAAACAACACTCTTCACTGTCCCAACGTGGTGTTGCAGCTGGTATGGGGTTGTACCTTACTGGAGAGTTTTAGTATTGCGCATAGAAGCAAACGCAAGCGATGTGCGTTTGCATTAGAGTTGCGTGCCCCACGTTGTGCGTGCGCCTCATCGCCATGCACCATCCAAGACCGCAATCTCGGGCTCCTCGCACGCGCAGTGTGGAACACGCAAAGCTAACGCAAACACACAGGGCTTGAGTTCGCTCGTACACGCAATATTAAAACTCACTACTGTTTCTCCGGCTTCCAACGCCAACGAAACGTGCTGCAGAGAACAGACGTGCAAGCAGGTAGGCGTTCCTTCGAACTGGAGAGGCTGAGATTGGCAAAACGACGGCGTACAAATACAAAAGTAAATAAATGTTATAAAAAAAACTACTAATTCACTTTTTTTTTTTTTTGGGGGGGGGGGGGGGGGGGCATTTGGTCTGGAAGTATATTGACGGAGACTTTGGACGTTTCGCCGATTGTCAAAAGACGCGACTTTGATAGCACAATGTACTTTACACAGAATTAATATACTTTTCGACTATTTTTATTTTATTGGTAATTAAAATGTAGCAATCGGAACCAGTGATGATAATTAGCACAGTTTTCATTGTCATATTTCTTCGCGCGTTTAAAATTAGATCATAAGCCACAAATTATATTAGAGCTTGAAGAATTACTGAATTAAATATGTGAATATTAATAATAAGCAACAAATTATATTAGAGCTTCAAGAATTACTGATTCAAATATGTGAACATTAATATTATTACAAATCGCGGCAACGTATGCCTCCAATTAACGCCAAGATCACGAGAATACGCTATTTAACCATAATAGTTTTTCCCGAAAGGTATAATTCTTTTTTTTTTAGCATATGAAAAACTCTGACATAGTGATCAAGGTACACAAACAGACAAACACTGGATGTAATATGAAGTCCTACGCGTCACGCGCTGCTATATAAAAAACAGGCACACTTCAGCTGTCTGACTCGGATTCCGCGTCTTTGGGTTGTTGCAGTGAGAGCAGCCGTTTATTAGTTTATGCGTTTCGTGGGCATATTGTAAAAATTGGAATTATTATCTTATTCTTGTGCTGGGATAATTGTCATTATTTCCCGCGACAATTGTCTGAGGGGGAAAAGGCAGCGAGAACGCACAGATATCAGCACTGATTTTTTCAACTACAAATATCCGCCTAAATCGAACAGTATGTCACAACATAAACTTTCCGCGAACAACTTTTCTAAGTAAATAATTACGATGTGAGACACATCATGAGTCATAAAAAATCCGAAATTAAGAGCTATATCGAGAAATTAAGTCCAAAATAGAGGTAAGTCTCGGTTTCGCTCCAGAATTAAAACACGCATCCTTCCGTAAATAATGCGCTAAACACCGTTCCTGTTTTCAGGTTAAAGAAGGGACCTGCGCTCATAAAACATTAACTTCCTCGTATTACCAGAAATAATTGATGTCGCTCGGTGAAGCCAGCACACTAGACAGGCTCAACAGCCGGCACGCATCTCTGACCCTCACTAAAACCGCCATCTTGGAAAATGAGTGGCGCCACCTATTGTTAGTTGGAGTCGCGAATAAACAAGTGTATCGTTACAGCGTTCAAGTTCAATTCCAATTTGGTAATTCCCGACCATGGTGGAAATTATAAACCGTGCCGCGGAGCCGGCCAGCATCGGCCGAAACATAGAGGGCCGAAAGACACTCGGAAAGCAGCAGAGAAATTAAAAACATAAAGTGATGCTTAACTAAACGCGCGCGAGCACAACATCGCGGCACCGCTCAATTTCGTTAACACACGCTCCTACAACGTTTCGTCAGCTTTCTTTTTTTTTTCTTTTTTTACCAAGAGTATTGCATTATTGGTTTAATTTCGTTCGCCGTAAGCATACCTCAACTAAAGCGGACTTGCTTAGGCGACTCTGATACGCCACAAATGAATTCGCGATCGCCGCTTTCAAACAGTCCGCACTACGCGCTAAAACCCCTCGCTCTGCTCGGGGAAGCTTTAGTATTAATTGAGAACACGTTTAGTTACGCATACCGGATACGATGATATCTTTCGCCTAAGAGCGTCAGGGCGAAACTTTAATATAGAGGCTCGAATTCGCACCTGGGCTCATACAAACTGCCACGGTTTCCTCAAGCACGCATCGCCTTGATCGCCGGTACCTTCACGCCGACGGCCGAGGCGATCTCCGGGAAAAGACGCTTTCGATGAAGCGTCGCAAGGTTGGTCGAGGAAACGAACACGGAAACTTTTTGATGAACCTAAGTAGCATTAAAACGCCGCTGCGTCAACGGAACGATCTCTCGGCGTAACATCGCTCGTTTGGTAATTTGATTACCGCCGGGCATAGTTTTGAAGTTCTAGGCCTCTTTTGCACGCTAACACGGGCGATTACCCGCCCGACCGCGTCAGAGAGCGAGCGCCTATCGTACAGGGCAATCCTGCAACTTTTTGAAGTGCGTTCTGAAATGCCTATAACATTTCTGCTGCTCTACAAGTAGCCAAAGCAATCAAAACTCACCGTTCAATCGGTTGACACTCCGACTGCATCCGACGAGGCATCCGCCACACGAACAGGTCAACCGTCACCGCTTTTCAAACCTGGGCGTGGGAGCGGCAGTTGGAGAGCAGGTCGCCTCGTCACCGGCGCGTCCGCGTCGCTCGAATTCCGTTCGCATGTGTTTCGCGGACGGAGACATTCGCCAAATATGAGCGTATAGTCACAATTTCTAAATTCCGGGGTCAAAATCTTGTTTTGCCAAGGCCTCTTTCAAAAATAGCTACTCGTGTGATGCTTCATCCACTTTATCGAAGGCTTGCGGCAGCCATTATTGACGAGGGGACTAAAGTATTCAATAGGGGAGCAACTCCTGTGGGAGCAACGAAATGCCCGAGGGACAAACTGCTCGAGTTACCGGTTCTGAATATAGAGCGCTAGGGTCGTGGGATGAAATATGGCGATTGGTCCCTTTAATCACTCTTCTTTTAAGAGTGTAGTCAATCGTTGCAGGTGATACCACTACCTCGCTGACCAACCAGCTTCACAGCGTGGATTGGAGGCCCAACTTTTTTTTAGAACGCCGTAAAATGCTGTTCTTGTCTCATATCTTCACAAAAAAGAGTTGATTTAGTGTTTTTCCATGATCTTTTGCAAGTTTCTGCTGAAACCAGGAGTCTATTTTCACTAATTAAAACTTTAAGGAACATATTGTACTTAAAGGGAAGCTGAAGCGGTTTTCCATTTGAGGAAACACATTTTAATCTTCATTGGACTTCCAGAATGTTAAATATCAAAATTATTCGTTAATTTGCTGAATCGAGGCTGCATAGAATCATTTTCAAAGTACCGCTCGTTACTCTTTTCCGGAGAGTGGCGTCACAAAAGGAGCTTGCGAAATCTCCGCCCACGCATCTTCAGCGCCTATCAAAGCTATGCACGCACATGCTATTTTTAAAA